CCAACATCAACTCCATCAACCAATCAAAAGGCAGCAGCACAGCCAACCAGCCCAGCACACCAGCCCCCCCCCCCACCAGTATTTATAGAGAGATGGCAGCTCCGATCACACACTGTTTGCACTGACACGAAGCCAAAAGCACCAGCCTGAGGATGGCGAGTGGGACTTCACAGAAACGTTGTCAAAATACTCTTAATCTTACATGGGAAAAGACCCGAACACACCTAGACCTACATACATACATACATACATGCGTGTGTGTGTGTGTGTGTGTGTGTGTGTGTTAAGTGTTTGCTGGTATTTATATGTATGGTATTCAACTTTGTTCAGGTATGTTCCCACATCATTATAGTTGTGCTTTTAAAGTTGTAGCAACATTTCGGCAGAATCTCATCTGCCATCATCTGGCTTCTGTATTGTGTTCGTCTGTGTGTCAGTCTTTCACAGCCATTTCTGTTTTAAATTAGGTGCTAGCCTACTGCTGTGCTAGCCTACTTTCTGGCACAGATTTTGGCAGATGATATTCTGCCAAAACGTTGCTACAACTTTAAAAGCATAACTATAATGATGTGGGAAAATACCTGAACAAAGCTGAATACTCTATCTATCTATCTATCTATCTATCTATCTATCTATCTATCTATCTATCTATCATACTATAGCAACAAATTTAGCAAATGGTTCAATTGATCAGCATACCATAAGCATATGCAATAAAAAGAAAGGTGATTCAGTAGAGACCCGGTGCTTCCCCTTATTGATATTGTAGGAGGACAATGAATTGTCTGTAGAACATATAAAGAAGCTCACTTGCCTGAGAATATTGATATTTGGTTGAATATATTCTAATAATCAATAGTAGAACATTTCATCTGAAATTTGCTCTGAATTTATGAACTTTCTCGCCAAATATTTAGTAATTATTTTTCAAATCCTAGGGTTTGTTCTGGTATCTGAATTTTTAGTTACTCTGCAATTGGCTACAGTACTAATCATAGCTTTGAGCAATTTGGTACATTTATTTATGGTCTCAAACAAGCATATGCAAAATATTGGATTCATTAACTTTCACAGAGGACAAAATGGCTTGGTTAGCTTGCCTAGCACTTAGCATAAGAAGTAGAAAACCCATGACCTTCTGAATTTTGGTCAGTGATCATTTCTATCATCCTTTGCAGCTGACCCTCTTGTGTAGGGTTGCTGAGGGCCCTGCTAGGAAGACCACAATTTCCCACTCCTCAAGCTTGTAAACTGCTATGTTATCTGTAACTATTCTAGCCTAAAAATTAAAAAGACTGAAATAAGAAAGACAACATTCTTCAAAAATGTAGAAAAAGGTGATCATTAATGAAATATCAAAGGTTGATAATCATGTGATTCAAATAAGAATATTTATTAGTATATTAATAATGACAATTACAAAGAACTCTGAAAATATATAAATTCAGAGAGGATTCAGGCATGGGCATAAGAAGGAATTGCACTGATCACTTGGATGACTATGTAGCAGGACTTGGAGGAAGGAAATGGAACTACAGGTAGTCCTCAACTTACAACCACAATTGAACTCAAAATTTATGTTTGTATACCAGGATACTGCAACCATCACAAATGTGAGTCAGTTGTCAAGCATCCGTATGTAAATCACATGACCAAGGGAATGCTGCAACAGTCGTAAGTGTGAAAAATTGTCATAAGTCCCTTTTTTCAGTGCCTTATAACTTCAAATGGTCACTAAGTGTACTGTTGTAAGTTGAGGACTACCTCTATCCTTGTCCTAACCCTAATGCTCCTGGGATTTTGGTTTCTATTGAAAGAGCAGTTTGAGATTGTCATTACTGCAGTAGATAATTGCTATTTTAGAAAGACACACATGATTAGTAGGTTGGGTTTTTTGGAAAAGTATTATCATAGTTATTTTGCAACAATGCATTTGAATGCCCCACTTTTTTTCTTTGTATTTAGAGTGCCTATCGAGTTTTCACCAATAGCACCTGCTTGAAACACATGATTCTAAAAATCCGCAGAGATGCTCGGAATTTTGAGCGGTATCAGCATAACAGAGATCTAGTAAATTTCATCAACATGTTCGCTGATACACGGTTGGAACTCCCACGAGGATGGGAAATCAAAACTGATCAACAAGGCAAGGTACAAGAATGAAATAAAGTCAGTATTTAATTCTATGTAAAAAAAAATTACACACATGCACACACACACACACACACTGTGTGTGTGTGTGTGTGTATTGTGCAAGAATGCTAGCATGGGTGGGGAATATCAGTATATTAACTGGAGGGTTCTGGCTTATCCTCGGAAGGCTTCTCTTCACTCAGTATTTTACTCAGGAATATATACCTGAAAATAATTATCTGTTTTGCTTTTCTTGGTCTTGGTCTGTATAACGTAGGTAGTTCTTCAGTCTACTTTCAGTACATTAGTCACACTGTATTTAACCATTTAATTTCTTTAACTAAAAAAATCAGGTTAGAAATCATGTTAAAACCTATATTACCAACTCTGGTAGCTCTCTTAATATTATTTCTGATTCTTAGTATTCTTATATTGCAGTCTTTCTTTGTTGACCACAACAGTCGTGCTACCACTTTCATTGACCCCAGAATTCCACTTCAGAATGGCCGTCTACCCAATCATTTGACCCACAGGCAGCATCTTCAGAGACTCCGTAGTTACAGCGCTGGAGAGGTACATAAATATGGGCTTTAGAACCTAAGGATTCATTTTAGTAAAAGCAGATGCTAATTTTTAGCATGAGCTTTAAATAGCACTGATATATATGTGTGTGTCTGTCTGTCTGTCTGTCTGAATCTTAAACATAATACATAATCGGCAGGGTATTAGTAGCAATTTTCCATGGGTTTATACAGGCTAATTATTTTATATAGCTATTAGATTTTTTTCACACCTGTGAAAAAAACAAGGAAACTAGAAATAATATTTGTTACAATATTTGCATTCTGCTGCATGGTGGATTGCATCAAATACCAATAAATACAAAAGTAATTTTTAAGAGACATAATATTCTACAAACATACAATAAAGCTCGAATTCAGCTCAGTCATATCAAATGGGAAATACTGTCTGGAACAACTCCGTTTTAACTACCTTCCTAATGTCCATCATGTATTTTTGGGAGTAAAGTCTTTTATTGGGATACAGTGTAAAATCGGGAGAATTTTTTTTTTCACTTCTCCACCCCAAGTTTTTATAGTAGAGGTTCTCTTAGAAATTTTAATTGTGAAGTGCATTCTTTATAGATCAAGTTTAAAATAGGCAATCCTAAAATTATTTAGGAGTCAATTCATATAGAGCTCTATATGTGACCAGGGGTTTGATTAATAGCCTATTGATAGGCAATATTGTGCCTCATAAGGAATTTTATATTAATCCAGTAGGCCTCATCCAGTAAAACCGCATGTTGCAATTCTGTATATTTATTTATTTATTATTTTATTTTGTCAAGCAATTATAAGATAACAGATATCTTACATAGTTATGAATATATGAAATGGATACATATAAGAAAAATAAAAAGAAACAATAGGACAGGGACGGTAGGCACGTTGGTGTGCTTATGCACGTCCCCTACAGATCTCTTAGGAAAGGGGTGAGGTCAATAGTAGACAGTCTAAGGTTAAAGTTTTTGGGGTTTGAGGAAGAAACCAAAGTCAGGTAGAGTATTCCAGACATTGACCGCTCTGTTGCTGAAATCGTATTTCCTGCAATCAAGTTTGGTGCAGTTTACCTTGAGTTTGTATCTATTATGGGCTCTTGTATTGTTATGGTTGAAGCTGAAGTATTCATTGACAGGTAGAACATTGCAATATATAATTTTATGTACTATATTTAGATCAGACCTTAGTTCTAGGTTTTCTAGGTCTAGAATTTCAAGTCTGATGGCATAAGGTATTCTGCAACAAGTAGAGGAGTGGAGAACTCTTCTTGTGAAATATTTCTGGACTTTCTCAACTGTATTAATATCAGATACGTAATGCGGGTTCCAGACTGACAATCTGTATTCAAGTATACTAGCAAATGTTTTGTATGCTCTAGTTAGTGTGATATTACCAGAGAAAAAGCTACACAGGATTAGGTTATGTAGTTACAGTGGGCTATGTAGTTACAGTGGGCTCTAGCATTTAGATCATTAGAGATGAGTACTCCAAGTTCCTTGACAGAATTTGGATCATCAATAAGGTCTTGACTATTCAGCTTGTATTTTATTTTCTGATTTATTTATTTTTTGCCAATATGTAAGACAGAGCATTTATTTGTTGAGATTTGAAGTTGCCATTTGTTTGACCATTCTGATACATAGTCAAGGTCTTTTTGAAGGGTAGCAGTATTGTCGGTGGTGTTGAAGAGCTTTACATCATCAGCAAAGAGAACACCATTGCTCTTAATATGATCACAGAGGTCATTTATGTAGAGTTTGAAGAAGTTGGTCCTAGAACACTGCCTTGGGGGACACACTGTTGACAGGTACAGAATTTGATAGGACGCTCCCAATTTTGACCATTGGTTGTCGTTTGACAGGAATGCTTTTATCCAGTTATGCAGGTGTCCAGAGATACCATAAGATTTTAGTTTTAGTTTTTATATCATTACCTATATCACCTATAGTTTCTACAGGCAGCACCATATAGAGCACAGATTTATTGTCCATCATAGAAATAGTGTGATGAGTTATTAATGCCATGGCCTCCCACTTCTAATTCAAAATGGGACAATTTACCATGCCTGTCTGGCCCTATCCACTTCATCCTGGTACAATGGTCCAGGGGTGGGCTTCAAAAAGTTCTCTGCCTGGTTGTTGGGTGGGTGTGGTCATGGTGGTCATAGCCTAGTCAGCCTGCTGCACCACCCAGGCCTGGGAGCGAAAAGTCTGCTGGGGGGGGGGGTGTTTTTATCCTCCCTGAGCTCCAAAGGCTTTCCTTGAGCCTCCAGGAGGGCAAAAATAGCCTCCCCAGATTCTGGAGGGTCTCTGGAAGCTATCTTCTGGAACTTCCAGGAGGCCCATTTTTGCCCTCCCCAAGGCCTGGAGGCTTTCCTCAAGCTCCAGAGGCTCTGTCTCTGTAAGGCTGCAAACAGGCCCATTTCTGGCCTTCCGGAACTTCCAGGAGGCCTATTTTTCACCCTCCCCAAGCCCTCGCATGAATTAGAATTAGAATAACTTTATTGTCATTGTACAAGTAGAACGAAACTGTGGATGCACCCCAGCAACTGTTCACAATACAATAAAACCAAAGCACTTAAAAATGAAGATAAGAAAGATAGAGTACCCACATCTCCATTTGCAATTTGAGAGTACAATATCTATGAATATACACAAAATATACATCCAACACTGACTGTAACGCTTAGCCGAGTATAATACACAAGAGATGGATTATACTGTAATATGTTATTATAAATCTGAATGGAGTATTAAGATTTCACATCTTTTCACATCTTAATGAGGTAGTGACTTCATGTTTATTTGCGGTTCGGATGGCCCAAGGAAAGAAATTATTTGTTAGTCTAGTGGTGTGGGATTTAATTGACCTAAAAAGCCGTCCAGACGGCAGCAGGTCAAAAAGATAATTGCCAGGATGTGAGCGGTCTTCTATAATGGCCTTGATTCTGCTTTAGCAGTGGGACCTGACTAAGTCTTCCAGGGCAGAGGGCAACCAATGATCTTTTGAGCTGTGTTATCACCCTCTGTACAATTTTCCTGTCCTCAACTGTGAAGCCTGCATACCACACACCCAGACAATATGTCAGAGTGCTCTCCACAGAGGCTTTATAGAAAGTCAGTAACAGCTTCTTATCCAGATTGTTCTTCCTGAGAACCCGCAGGAAGTGCAGCTGCTGCTGAGCCTTCTTCACTATGGCCTTGGTGTTAGGAGACCAGGAGATATCAGCTGAAATATGGATGCCAAGGAATCTGATCGTAGGGACAGTTTCCACTCATTCTCCATTGATGATGAGTGGGGTGTAGTTCTGCCCATAATCAGTTCTTTGGGTTTATGGACATTCAGTGACAGATTGTTCTGTGAACACCAGATAGACAGGTTCTCTACTTCTGCCCTATATGCCGTCTCATCCTCTCCGGAGATGAGACCAATCATGATCGTGTCGTCGGCAAACTTTATGATGGTGTTTGCTGTGTGGCTTGGTGAGCAGTCAAAGGTGTACAAGGCATATAGCAGGGGGCTCAAGACACAACCCTGGGGGGAACCAGCACTGAGTGTAATAGTGGAAGAAAGGTGGGGGCCAAGTGTAACAGACTGTGGTCTGTTTTTCAAAAAGTTCTTAATCCTGGAGCACGTGGGGGTGGGGACCTGCAGATTATACAGTTTGGTTACTAGTATATCTGGGGTGATAGTGTTAAACGCAGAGCTGTAGTCTACAAAGAGCATCCTCACATAGCTCTGTTTGTTCTCCAGATGACTCAGCGCTCTATGAAGTGTGATGGCCACAGCATCCTCTGTAGATCGGTTTGCTCTATAAGCAAACTGATGTTGATCAAAGGAGGGCGGGAGGCAGTCTCTGATGTGCTGTGAAACTAGTTGCTCAAAAACCTTCATAATGGAGCTTGTTAATGCTGTGGGCCTATAGTCATTGAGGGTGTTTATATTTGTTTTTTGGGGAATAGGGATGATGGTTGCAGCCTTCAGGCATTGTGGGATGATGGTATGTGTTAAAGATAGATTGAACAGCTCTGTAAGTATTTCTGCCAACTGATCAGCACACGCTTTAATTACTGCACCAGGAATGCCATCAGGCCCACCAGCTTTCCTGGACTTTACTGCTCTCAGTATTTTTCTTACCTCATGCACCTGAAAAGAAAGAGGTGCAGCATCGTGGTCCTCGTGAGGCAGTATGTTCAGGTTCTTGGTGGTCTCAAAGCGTGTGAAAAAGCTGTTTAGCTCCTCTGCCAGAGTACTACTGCTCTCGCTGTTTGTTGGGCCCTTGCCTTTATAGTTGGTCAAAGCTTGTATCCCCCTCCACATCTGCCATGGGTCACTGTCAGTAAAGTGGCCCTCAACCTTCCTCCTATACATTACCTTAGCATGTTTGATGTCCCTTCTCAGCTCAGCTCTGGCAGTGCTGTACTGTGAGGTGTCACTTGCTCTGAAAGCCAGGTCATGGGCCCTGATCAGAGCCTGGATTTCGCTGGTCATCCAGGGTTTTCTGTTTGGGAATATCCATATGCATTTGTCCACAGTGACATTTTCTACACAGGTCTTCATGTAGAAAAGCACAGTCTCTGTGTATAACTCGAAGTCCTGTTGTTTGAAGATGCTCCAATCTGTGCAGGCAAAACAGTCTTGAAGCTGGGAGCGGGCATTTTCAGGCAAGCATCTAATAGTTTGACTGCTAGGTTTTGTTCTTTTCCTAAGGGGGGTGTAGGCTGGTAGTAAAAGCAGGGTGAAATGGTCTGATTGTCCTAAGTGGGGAAGAGGTTTTGCTCTATAAGCATGCTTAATATTTGAATACACATGATGAAGTGTGTTTTTTCCCCTGGTTGGGCACTTAATATGTTGGTAAAGTTTGGGGAGCACAGTTTTTAGGCATGCTCTGTTGAAATCCCCAGCAATGATGTGAACGCCTTCAGGATGAGCTCTCTGTTGTGTGGTAATTATGTCTTGAAGGTGACTGAGCGCCATGCTAACATCAGCATCTGGAGATAAATATACAGC